CCCTAGGGCCTCGCCTGCTCCCTGCGTGCCCCGCCGGGGTGGCCGGGACGCCCGCCGCCCCCAAATCCCCCGACACGTGACCCGGGAGCCCGTCTCGTCACGTGACGCGAGACTCACTGCGGTCAGGGGTTTGGGGGGTGCCCCCGGGGTACTCCCTGGCTGCCCCCCGACACGTGAAGCGCGATGGTCTCAGAGGCGGCCGCTAGTGACTATCGCCGGCCTCTGATCAGTCGGCTTCCTCCAGGAAGCCTGCCTGTGTTGAAAGAGACCACATACAATATAGAGGTGCGTTTATCAGATGTTTTAGGATATATGCAAGAAGTGGGCAACCTAATGATTTAGGAACAGTCCGAGGCAGTACTGGCTGGTGAGACCTGGAGTTTTATCTGGCTCTGCCACTGACTAATAGGTGACTCTCTTTTGTGGTAATTAGGAATTAATGTTGTTCTCTGTCCCATCCCCCGGCCCCTACTCCACTCCCTTCCAGGAGTCCTGAAAGAATTAAAATTGGTGAATGTGAAAGGCTTTGAAAGGAGATAAGCTACTATGCAAATGTAAAACTTAGATCGACACCTCCTTTGTTTAAAAAAGTGGTTTTCAGGAATGACTTTTCTGAGTCCCTGAGCCTTTTATGATGAAACAGTTTGTGTTTTCATCATTTTCTTTATAAATCATTCCAGAATGTATACTCTACTATCCAGCTTCCTAGAACAGCTGTTACTAAATACAAAATAATCCTTCTCAAAACAGGGAAAAGTAAGTTCAGACTTGTGCCATAACCGAGCGTGGACCTTAGGAGCAACCAGTAAGGCCTTTTGTTCCTGCACTGAGTACCCCCCACCCTCAGGCTTCTCTGCACTTGTAGTTTTAGTGTTTGCTTTTTTCAGTTCCGTTTGCTTTCTTGCGGACTGGATTCTTGCCTCTGTTGCCAATCAAACTGCTTGCTCACAGGCTGGAAAAGGGCAGTAGTTTAAATCAAGGGCTCCTGTGCTGGTTCCATCCATTACCAACTGTGGCCTTGGGCAAATTAATTTCATCTCTCTCCTCTGAATTATATGGTAAAGCATTTAACACAGTGCTTGGCACAGGGCAGGTACTCCACAAATGTTAGCTAATAACGGCTTTTGGTTACACAGGGTCCACAATATTCAGATTGTTAACACTTTATGCAAATGTATCAACAGAATCCAGTCTTGGGTCAGAATTCTCCTAGTATAGCTTATGACAGCTGTTTCTGTGTTGTTTTGTTTTTACTCAAAAGCTTTTGTTGTTGCTTTTTGTTTGTTTTTTAACTTTGCTAGATTGTGTTCTGGGTGGTTGGAGGTTACCAGCAGCCTAACCTCTGAATGAGTGAGGTCTTAGCATGCCTTATTATTAATTAGCAAATCTGAGATTGTAAATTATGATGGAGAAATGGTACAGGGGCAAAGGGAAGGGAGACCTCTGTGGACTGGGAGCAGTTGGGGACAGTGGTGGCTTGTGCTGAGCTGGAAGGAGGGGGCAAGATTTAGGAAGATTTAGGAAAAGTGGGCATCCCCTTGAGAATAGTGGCAATGCAGGCTGATGGGAGAAGAGGATCTGGATTGCTAGTTGGATGAGCAGTGAAGTGACATTTCAGTTCAGGGCCTTGAATGCTACCGTGAAAAAGTTTTTGATCCAAGAGTAGCACCCACTAGATGCAGCAAGTCGAGGAGAGCAAAATGACTCCAGGATATAAAATTGGAATCATCCCCCATGGTTTCCTGTGTACCAGCTTGTGACCCCTGGGCAAGTCCTTTCCCCCCATTGCTGCTGCTGCTGACACTATGGAAATGAATCCTATAAGCACCTTCTTTGAGAAAGGAAACTATATCACTCTCCCATACAGTACTAAAGAAAAAAATTAGAAACAATACACTTAGACCTAAAATATTTTTATTTGGGTGCTATGCTATAAAATGTCTTGGACTGTGTTGTTTTAAATTTGCAAGATTTTTTGCCTGGCCAGTGTGGCTCAGCGGTTGAACATCAACCTATGATCCAGGAGATCACTGTTCAATTCCCAGTCAGGGCACGTACCTGTGTTGTGGGCACGATCCCTGGTGTGGGGCGTAAGGGGGGCAGCCAATCAATGACTCTATCATCGTGGATGTTTCTGTCTCTCTTTTCCTCTCTCTCCTTCTCTCTGAAATCAATGAAGACATATTAAAAGAATAAATTGCAAGCTTTAGAACTAAACAGATTTGGTTAGATGATTAATCTAGATGAAAAGAAAGTCTCAAGACTAAGCAGCCAAGGGGGTTGGGTGGAAGGGGCCAGTGGGAGGAAAATAAGGGACATCTGTAATACTATGGGCAATAAAAAATAAACTTAAAAAATAAAAATAGAAGATGCATGTCCCATAAGAAAAAAGTCTAAACAGCCATGATCTGCCTTTTTTCTTTTTTTTAAATTTTTATTGTGATTTTTATTTTAATCCTCACCTGAGGATATTTTTTCCATTGCTTTTCCGAGAGAGTGGAAGAAGGGGGAGAGAGAGAAAAAAAAAGCTGACGTGAGAGAGACATCGGTTGGTTGCCTCCCGGATGCCCCCAACCCGGGCCAGGGATCAAGCCCGCAATCAAGGTACGTGCCCTTGGCGGAAATCGAATCAGAGACCTTTCAGTCCTCAGGCCAACACTCTAATCAGAGAAAACCCGGCTAGGGCTGCCTGTTTTCTTAATGGCAGATTCCTCTGTGGTGGTTGTCTTCAATGAAATGTAAAAAGATAAAGACCATCTTAGTGTCAAATCAGTTTATTACAGAGCTTGGCTTCACCCACTTAAATTGTGAACCTTTATATTTATCTGGATGTCAAAGTTTGGAAAACATATTTTTGACATCACAAAAAGGAACACAACTTGAGTAATAGTTCACAAACTTCTTATTTTTAATTAACAGACAAAAATGGGCCTTAAAATTAATTTATTGCATTCAGAATTAGTTTCTACCATGTACTAAGTTCTTTGGTCTACCAAATATAACTTCTTTCAAGTCACCAGTGACCCACATTGCTAAATCCACTGGTTCAGCAGCATATGACAGTCAGTCACTCCTTCCTCCAGGAAATGCTTTCTTCACCTGGCTTCCATACTCCCTTGGATTTCCTCCTATCTCACTAGCTGCTCCTGAGTCCTTTGCTCTGGTTCCTACTCTTCTCCCCTATCTTCCAGAACTTAGTCCTTCTAGACCTCTCCATTGTAACATGAGGAAGTACACAGGATATGAGCCCCACTGCTAGACATTCTGTCTCAGCTTAGCCATTGCTTCCTCCAAGGTCACATTGGCTATTCCCTCTTGGGGGCCTACCAAATCCTGTACATTCTTCCCACTGGTCATATTATCTTGCACATTTGCCTTCCACACTAACTATGAGCTGCTTAGCATAGTATTCTATGATATAACCAATATTCCAATCATCTAACAGGGCTCCTTGATCCCACCTTTATTGCTGAGTAGTAGTCCATGGTGTGGATGTACCACAGTTTAACTGTTCACCTGCTGAAAGACACCTGGGTTGTTTCCAGTTTAGACTATTACAAATAAAGCTGCTATGACGTATGTGTACAGGTTTTAAGTGCTCAGGAGCATTCTGGTGGGTCATATGGTGCTTGTATGTTTAGTTTTACAAGAAACTGCCAAACTGCTTTCCAAATGGCTGTACCATTTACCATTTCCACAAGTGGTGCATAAGAGATCCATACGTATGTATGACAAGTTTCTCTGCATTCTTGTCAGCACTTGGTATTGTCAAGATTTTTTATGTTGGATATTCTAATAGGTACATAGTAGTCATCATAGTTTTAATGGCTAACGATATTGAACATCTTATGTGCTTATTTGGCATCCTGATAGTATCTGTTCAAGACTTATGCCTATTTTCTAATTGAGTTGTTTTCTAACTCTTGAGTTTAGAGAGTTCTTTATATATTCTGGATACAAGTCTTTTGTCAGATATGATTTGCAAATATTTTTCCCCCATTCTGTGGCAGCTTTTTAAATTCTATTAATGTGGGCTTTCACAGAGTAAAAGTTTTTAATTTTGATGAAGTACAATTTACCAAATTTTTTCTTTAATAGATTGTACTTTTGGAGTTGTGTCAAAAAACTCTTCACCTGACCCTATGTTATGAAGATGTTTTCTTCTGAAAGGTTTATAGTTTATATTTAGATCTACCATCCATTTTGTATTAATTTTTTTTTGTTTTGTTAATCCTCACCCAAGGATATTTTTTTCACTGATTTTTTTTAAAGAGAGTGGAAAGGTGGGGGAGAAATAGAAACATCAATGTGAGAGAGACATATCAATTGGTTGCCTCCTGCACTCGCCCCAAGTGGGGTGGGGATTGAGCTTGCAACCAAGTATGTGCCCAGATCCTTCAGTAGGAGGGCCAACACTCTAGCCACTGAGCCAAACTGGCTAGGGTGTGTTAATTTTTTTCATAGGGCTGAAGTTCAGTTCTTTGCCTATTTGTCCAATTGCTTTAACACCACTTGCTGAAAAGACTTATTCTTTCCCCATTCGACTGCTTTTACACTATTGTCAAAAAGCAGCTGGCTGTACTTGTGTGAATCTATTTCTGGGTTCTCTGTTCCATTTTATTGATTTTTGTGTCTATCCCTTGGCAGATTCCACACTGTCTTGATATTGTATTTATATCATAAGTTTTAAAATCAGTGAGTGTGATTCCAATTTTTTCTTTTTCAAAATTGCTTTAACTTTTCTTGTCTTTCCATATAAACTTTACAATAAACTTGTTTAAATCTGCAAAAATTCTTGCTGGGATTTTCATAGGAATTGTATTAAAGCTAGAGATCAGTTTGGAGAGAATTGATATCTTCACTGTTGAGCCTTCTGATACACGGACATGGTATAGCTCTGTATTTACTTAAATCTTTGATATTTTTATCAGCATTTTGTAGTTTTTCAGCATACAGATTTTGTAGATGTTTTGTTAGGCTTATATGTAAATATTTCTCCTACTTTCCTCCATCTCTGGGGTAATTGTAAATGATATTATTGTGTTTTAAATTTTAGTTTCCAATTGTTTGTTTCCAGTATGTAGAAATACAATTGATTTTTTATTTTATTTTAAAAATATGATTTTTATTGATTTCAGAGAGAGGAAGGCAGAGGGAGAGAGAGACAGAAACATCAATGATGAGAGAGTCATTGATCGGCCGCCTCCTGTATGCCCCCTGCTGGGGATTGAGCCCACAACCCGGGCATGTGCCCTGACTGGGAATTGAACCGTGATCTCCTGGATCCTAGGTCGATGCTCAACTGCTGAGCCATGCCCAGCAGGACTACAATTGATTTTTTTTAAAAAATATATTTTTACTGATTTCAGAGAGAGGGAGAGATAGAAACATCAATGATGAGTCATTGGTTGGCTGCCTCCTGTACGCCCTCTGCTGGGGATCGAGCCTGCAACCCGGGCTTGTGCCCTGACCAGGAATTGAAAGCTACTTCCTGGAGCTTAAGTCGATGCTCAACCACTGAGCCATGCCGGCTGGGCTACAATTGATTTTTTTTGTATGTTAATCTTATATCCTGCAAGCTTGCTAAACTCATTTATTTATACTTTTTTTTGTAGACTCCTTGGGATTTTTTATGTATATAGTCATGTCATCTGCAAATAGAGACAGTTTTATTTCTTTCTTTCCAATTGGTATCCTTTTCTTGCTTTATTGCATTGGCTTGGACTTCCAACAATAAGAGTGGTGAAAGAAGACATTCTTTTTGTCTGGCTGGGCATGACTTATCGTTTGAGCATTGACCTATGATCCAGGAGATCACGGTTCAATTCCCAGTCAGGGCACATGCCTGGGTTGTGTGCAGGCTCGATCCCCAGTCAGGGGTGTGCAGGAGGCAGCCAATCAATGACAACTCTCTCATCATTGATGTTTCAACTCTCCCAGCCTTTCCTCTCTCTGAAATCAATAAGGATATATGTAAAAAAAAATTCAAATAAAAAAAGACTTTTTTAAAATTTGTTTTTTTAAAAAAATATCTCTTTATTAATTTCATGGAGAGGAAGAGAGAAGGAGAGAGAGAGAGAGAGAGATAGAAACATCAATGATGAGAGAGTCCTCATTGGTCAGCTGTCTCCTGCACACCCTCTGCCCGCAACCCGGGCATGTGCCCTGACCAGGAGTCAAACTGCGATCTCCTGGATCCTAGGATGATGCTCAACCGCTGAGCCATGCCTGGCCGGGCAGAAGACATTCTTTTAAAAGAAAGGTGGCCAGTCTTTTACCATTAAGTATAATGATAGCTGTAGGTTTTTTGTAGATGCTCTTTATCAGGTTGAAGAAGTTTCTTCTATTCTTTGTTCGCCTAGAATTTTTTAAATCATAAATGGATGCTAAATTATGTGAAATAGTTTTTCTGCATCAATTGATGTGATCATTTGAATTTTTTTCTTTAGACTGTTAATGTGGTAGATATATATATATATTTTTTTAAGAAAGTTATAGTGTTTTTTGTTTTTTAAATATATCTTTATTGATTTCAGAGAGAGGAAAGGAGAGAAAGAGAGAGAGATAGAAACATCAATGATGATGACTGGGAATTGAACCGTGATCTCCTGGATCATAGGTCAATGAGAGAGTCATTGATCAAGCCCATAACCCGGGCATGTTCCCTGACCGGGAATCGAACCCCGATCGCCTGGATCCTAAGTCGATGCTCAACCGCTGAGCCACGCCCGGCCTGGCTGTGGTAGATATATTGATTGGCTTTCTTATGTTGAACCATCTTTGAAATCAGCCCTACTTGGTCATGGTTTATAATTCTTTTTATATACAGTAGTCTCCACTTATCTGAGGGGGATACATTCTAAGACGCAAGTGGTTACCTAAACACAGATAGTACCAAACCCTATATATTACTGTGTTTCTTCTATATACATACCTTTTCACGTAAAGGAAGCACTTTACTGCTTCTCTTTGGCATATCTTAATTGCCAGCCTCACTACTCTTGCTGTTTGGGGTCATTAAGTAAAATAAGTGATACCTCGACAGTTCATCTGATAACCAAGATGGCTTCTAAGTGATTAATGGGTAGGTAGTATATACAGTGTGGGTATGCTGGACAAAGGGATGAGTCACATCCCAGGAGAGCAGGAAGGCAAGATTTCATCACACTATTCGGAACAGCATACAGTTTTAAATTTATGAATTACTTGTGTAATATTCCATGTAATATTTTCAGATGCCAGGTGACCATGGGTAACTGAAATAGTGGAAAGTGAAACCGTGGATAAAGGGAGACTACCGTTAGATTCAACTGGCTAACATTTTGTTGAGGATTTTGCATCTTTGTTCATGAGAGATATTGGTCTGTAGTTTTCTTCATTTGTATTTGTCTGGTTTTGACCTCATAAAATAAGTTGGGAAATGTTCCTTCCTACTCTGTTTTCTGGAAGAGATTGAGTAAAATTTGTGATATTTTTTCCTTTGGTAGAATTCACTAGTGAAACCATCTGGGCCTAGATATTCCTTCTTCTAAAGGTTTTTCTTAAAGCTATTTATTAATTTAATTACTTTAATAGTTATAGGGCTATTCAGATTATCAATTTCATCTTGGGTGAGTTTGGTTGGTTGTGGTTTTCTAGGAATTAGCCCACTTTAAGTTGTCCAATTTCTGTGTGTAGAATTGTTTGTATTACTCTCTTAGTATCTTGTAGTGTATGAGGGGTCTCTAGTGCTATCCCCACTTTCATTTCTATAATCATAATTTGAGTCTTCTTTTTTTGTCCTCTCTTTTTAGCCAGTCTTGCTAGATCAATTTTATTTATCTTTTCAAAGAACTAGCTTTTGGTTTGAGTTTCTTTATTGTCTTTCCATCTGTCATTGACTTTTCCTTTATATTACTTCCTCCCATCTTCTTGCTTTGGCTTTATTTGGCTCTTCTTTTTCTAGTTCCTTGAGGTAGAAGCTTAGATTATGCTTCCCTTCTTTTAAAAATACTGATCAGTTGTTCCAGAGTACTACTTGGTTCCTGGAAGAACTGTTTATCCATTAAAACTCAGCTCAGATGTCACTTCTGAGACAGAATAGGGTTGTAAACAGCCTTTCCTCTTTACCTACTACCTCACCACCACCACCACCCCATACTCCCCCAAAACTTGTGGTTAATGAAAGAATCTGAAGCTAAAAGAACTATGGGATTTAACTAGTGCTTGGAGTTCTTTCTAACCAACAGTAAAATGAGGTTAGACTCCACCCTAGGCAACTAGAGAGGGGTCTGGGGGCCATAAAAATTCCAACTCACATGTATAGGCTTCCAGTTCATAAGGTTATATTGGGCTTCACAACTCCATGGCAAGACAGGAGTTACCCCATTTGAATGATGGGAAAACTCAAGCGGAGAGTAGTTCAAGATCCCCAATGAGGGCCTAACGCATTTTGGAAGGGCACTCTCCAGAAGCTGTACCATTGTGGGCAGAGAGCCCCCTCCCCAGGCAAAGTCAACCTCTCCCCACTGGTCTTAGGGGGCCAGGACCCCCGCCCCACCACCAGTGCTTCGCCTTGCCCTGCCCACTAGAGGGCGCAAGTCCCTGCTCCCAGGTCGCGGGGAGCCACCGAGGAACTGGTGGGTGATAGTTGAGGGGTATGGGTGGGTCAGCGTACCCCCAGGGAGCCTTGAAACCGGGGCCTCATAGTTTGGGTCCCCAAGGCCGGGCCTGGGGTCAGCCTAGCAACAGACAGGGGAGAGGGACAGGTCTGTCCCTGTGAACTGCAGGGGAGTCCAGGGACGCTGTCCTCTGTTGAGGGCCAAACCTCACCAGTCAATGCCCCCCTCCGTCTTTGGGCAACAGGGACTTTGGGCAGGAGTTCAGCTCTGTCAACTCTGTCACGCCTCCTTCACCAGAGGAACTGCAATGGAGGCAGGAGCCCAGACTTCGTCTTCAGGCTCCTTTGCAATCCCGTTCTCCTGAATTCGCAGCGCTCCCTGCTGTCTTTGCAAGACCCTTGCTCACATTCTCCATGCCCCTAGAATAGCCGCCCTTATCCCCCAACTCCAAGACCCCTCCGTGGGCCAGGAACTTGGACTGGCCTGGGGAGGCCGACCCCCCTCCTCCTAGGTCCTCCCCGCTTCCACTCGATACCCGCCCCCTGCCGCTGAGCTCCGCCTCGGAGGCGTGCACCGTGGTGGATCCCATCACTCCGGGAAGCCTCGCGTTACTCAAACATCTCACGCGGTTGCTCGGGCGCTCAAGATAAGGGGCGGGGCGAACGGAGGCCGGGAAGGCGGTTCTTGGATCTTTTGGATCTCGCAGGAGCCGGTGTGGGTTGCCTGCGATCTGGCGTTCCTTTGAGCGCCCCTTTCCTTCTCTTTCTTTCTTCAGGTCTGGGGGTCCTGGGCTGCACTTTCTATTAGCTGGTTGGCACAACACGTGAGTGACCTGGCAGGGGAGAGGGTCGCGTGCGCACAGGAGGCCACTGTGGACCAGAGATAGTAGGCGCGAAAGAGAGGGAAGAGGGTGGTGTCGGGGCTTGAGGTAGGGGGTGATGTGATAAATGAATAGGAACTCAGAGCTGGTGGCGGAGGAGACGCGAAAGCTTGAGGTGATGGGCGGGGACTGAGGCCGGAAGCGAAGAGGGGCGTTGAGTGCGCCCCCTGCTGGCTACACCTTTGGGACAGGAAATGGTGTAGGAAAGGCAACAAAATCGCTGGTCACCCCTTGCTGATCTTGCCTTTTTCCCATGCCAGGGCACGCAACATGGCAGAAAACCGAGAGCACCGTGGGGCCGTGGAGGCTGAGCTGGATCCGGTGGAATACACCCTTCGGAAGCGGCTGCCCCACCGCCTGCCCCGGAGGCCCAATGACATTTATGTCAACATGAAGACTGACTTTAAGGCCCAGCTGGCCCGTTGCCAGAAGCTGCTGGACGGAGGAGCGCGGGGTCAGAAGGCATGCACCGAGATCTACATACATGGCTTGGGCCTGGCCATCAGTCGCGCAATCAACATTGCCCTACAGCTGCAGGCGGGCAGCTTTGGGTCCTTGCAGGTGGCTGCCAATACCTCCACAGTGGAACTTGTTGATGAACTGGAACCAGAGACTGATACACGAGAGCCGCTGACCCGCATCAGAAACAACTCGGCCATCCACATCCGAGTTTTCAGGGTCACACCGAAGTAATTAAAATGAGTCTGGCTCACCTTATACAGCCACTCTCAGCTAGGGTCAGGTATGACTCTCCTTGTACTGAATACTGTCATGGACCTCCTGCCAGAGCCATATAAGGAAAATCCTGTCATCTCATATTCCAAAGGACTCTGAATTGAGAGAGGAAGAGTGTCTCTTGTTGGGCCCAAGCAGTAGGTCTTCCTGAATCTTTGTGGTCTGTAACCAACCATTTTCCTAGGCAATAAAAAGTATTGAGTCATGTTAATATGCATCCACCCCACTGCCACTGCCTTTCCCCTTTGTGAAGTCTGTGTGTACCTAAAAAGGAGAGTAGGAAACTTGACAATTATTTAGGTGTAGGAGGGAAACCTGAGGTGCCTTTACAGAGAGTATACATTGAACTATGGATAGTGTAACATAAACTTGAGTACAATGCAGAAGCCTGACAACCCAATGTTTGCTTTAAAATTTCTCATTCTCTCAGAGGCAGGCCGAATGGATAAGATGTACACTCTTTCCCGCTGAATGCACCTGGGATAGTTGTATCCTCAGAAGCATCAGGCTCTGGTAGAAGTTCCTAGGCACAGGAAAGGTGAGGGTTTAAAAATGAAGGAAGCAAAGACTGGGGACTCCTTTGTATCAAGCTCTGTGGTAGGGACTGACACGTGGCTTTATTCACTTCTTGATCCTGCAGGGCCCAAATTGTCCTAAGCAACTATAGTCCAGAGCCCCTTCATACCTTTTTGGCTGGGCTGCTCTAGTGGGAAAAGAAAGCCTCCCCCTTGAATTACTGGCACACAGATAATAAATACTCTTTGTTTAGGTATTTTTAGAAAGATCTGATTTCTCATGTTTATCAAACTAGAGTCATCTGAAGCAGTGTTTATTAAATGGTTGGTGATCCATTTGTGGCTCTTGAAGTCAACTTACTGGATCGTAGACTTCAAAAGTAAGTAGAAGAAAGTGCAACTTGAATGGCAGTTTTGTTGCCACTTTTTCAGTTATTGGTGTGTTTAAATATACACGTGTACTAGGTATGTAAATTGTTTTAGTGTGGTCAAGATCACACGTTTGCAAATCTCTGATTTAAAGGTTAGTAACAGAATTTTGCTCTAGTTTGCTTGAAGGTAATTTGGTTTGGGTTTTGAAAATCAGGCTTCTCATTTATTGAAATCCCTTCTGGCTTGAGTATTCCTATTGATGAGGGACTTTGATGCTGGGTGAGTGACTGCCAGTAACTCAGGAAAGTGGACTCCTTATAGAAGGACCAGTGCTTCATTCAAACAACTAAACAGGTGCTGAGTACCTACTGTGAGCCAAGGCCTGGGTTGGGCCCTGGGGATACAAAGGTGAGTATAAAATGGCCTCGGTCTTCAAGGAGTTCATCATTTAATTGGGAAGGTGGATACAGTTTTTATGAATGAAAGAGTAAGAGTAGCCATGATATGGAAATATGGAGAAGGAAATGCTAACTTCCTGGTAGGATCCAAGATGGTTTCACCTTTCACCTGGGTTTTGAAGGATGAATAGGAGCTTGCCAGGCCAAAAAAGAAAGGAGAGGGCATATCTGATAGAGGGATTGGTATGCACAAAGGGCATTCATGAATAGGTAGGACATGTTCTGGTGCTGGAGAGTCAGTGGCTAGAAAGCACGATGCTGGGGAGACAAGATGGGAGATATTCCTATCATACCCCCTACCCCCCCACTCGCCTATCATTCTTGATTGCAAGGCTCCCTTGCCCTGGAGCCCCCCAGGAGCAGAGGATCTAGCAGGGAGCTGGATGGAACTATGTGTCTCCCTGCACGTATGTGTTCTTGTGTCTGCGCTCCTGGCCTGGGCCCAGCTGAGGTGGCAGGCAGCCCTTTTGCATTTGGTTTGTTTTGGCAGCTATGTCTTCAAGCCTATTTGTTGTTTCTATTCCATGTTCTCTCACTGCTTGCCAGTGCGGCTTCCCTCAGTGGCAGGTTTATAGAAACAGCCCTTAGACTTTGGAGGGTGTGGGGACAGGTAGCTGGGTTATTAGTTCTGTCAGGCTTTTAACTGTGGTTTGCCTGGTAGGGTGGAAGGCCCTGAGGACACATGAACTGATTTGGATGTGCTGATGATTCTCCCAGGAGAGTCCCCACAGTATGTCCCAGCGAGGTCCTGGTGGTGGTGAGGAGTTGGGGGAGGAATGGTATGTTCTACATACTCTTTTTTGTTGTTAATCCTCACCCAAGGATAATTTTTTCCATAGATTTGGGGGGGGGGGGCCAGGGGG